CAAGTTCCATAGCCGTTCTTCATATGTTTTGGTCTCCAGGCCTTTGATCATCTTAGTTGCTCTTCTCTGAATTTTTTTCCAAACTCTCAACATCTGTTTTGTGATGTGGTGACCAAAATTGGCTGCAAGTATATGAGGTGTGGTTTTACTAGGGCTTATGCTGACTCTGTAAACCGCTTACAGAGAGCTGTCAAGTGCTATGAAAGCAGTATATAAGTTTAAGTGCTATTGCTACCTTGTGATCATTCAACTGCAGTTAATTGTGAGTTGTCTTTCACTAGGGCCTCCAGTGACATCACAGAGGCTTTGGATACAAACTCGGGACCCTGTGAAGAAAGGAATTAATGCCCAATGCCCTGATGTGCTTTCAGTATTTTGATCAAATCCATCTCTTGGGAGCAAATAGGGCTCTTAAAGTCCACAAGCTTTTCCTCTCTGCTTACGACACTCTGCTTGCCAACTTCAACAGAAGGTCAGCCTAATAAGGTGTGTCAGGCAGTCTTTCTTCACACAGTGCGATGTAAAGGAGAATTTGAAATACAGTCCCAAGTGCTAAGGGAAAGGTTAAACAGGTTTTCCTCAATGGCAAGCCCAGTTTCACTTACAACGTGCAAGTGCCATTGCAGAGAAGCAGCTGAGGCATTCTGGGGACCAATAAGAATCTGCTTATAATATGATTAGGCAGGCAAAGCACTCTTAAAGTGCTCTATCATTTGTTGTGAGATTGTTGTGCTGTGTATTGGGACCTCTTTAGGCTTTGAGTGGGTTGAAACAGTGATACTTAATGTGTGTGTCTTCTACCTTAAAATGAAGGCAGGCTTTGCCCACTGGCCTCAGAAGTGGCATTAGTGCAGCAAATACTAACAGATTTTTTTGGGGAGGGGGGTTGTTTATTATTAGCTGTAATTTCTTAACTCAAACAGGGACATTCTTTGAGAATCTCTGAATCCCTGAATCCATTCTTCAAAAAGTACTTTCCCTCCCCCGAAACCTGCTCTTTTCCCTCAACACTTATAAGATCAAAGAGAAGAATTTAATGCACATTTGTGACCATTTAGAATATATTTTCAAGGGGAGGCATTACTGCCAATACTATCAAATGCAGTCCTATTAAAAAAAATACATATATAAAATGCTTGAGATTTCTGGAGACTTCTGGATTTGCATTTCCTTTGTAGTTTCATTAACATAATTGGAAAACAGATTTAATTAGTGTCTTAGCACTATTCATGTTGTCTTTTTATTCTTTATTTCTTAAAGAGACTGGGGAAAAGGCAGAGCAATAGTTGAAGTGGTGTGTGGGGGGGGGGTTGTGTGTGTTGTTGTTGTTGTTGAGTTGAGTTGATACCCATTTTCTTAGTATCCACACAAGGATAAGATTCAATACACGGGTGGAATCAAGAATAAATAGAGCCAGCAGTGTGGAAACTGCACATCCTGTTGGATAATTCTGCACTGCTAGAGGATGTGCAAGCATGGGAACATTAAAAGCATGTGGGCTGGACAACTGTCACGCATATTTCACATCCAATCGCAGGAAGGGTGGTGATATTCAACTGTCTAACCATAAACATGTCTAACAGTGAGAGATATTGATTTTTGTCATAGCTCTGATCTGAAAACCATCCTAAGCCACTTTATTTTTTCCTACTCAGATTCTAATTCATCAAGGACACCTTGCGAGGGAGATAATTATTCCCACAATGTAGGAATGAGTACAAATAATCCAGCTTTCCATGAATTGATTAAATTATTTTCAAATTCAGCTAACCTTAAAAACTCCAAATGCTCCTTCGGCGATTAAAGAGACCCATATCTCAGAAGCAGATTAGATGGTCAAGCAAATCTGAATTATATCACTTAAATAATATATTTAAAAGTATATACAGAAGTGATGGTGAATCTTTTAGAGACAGGGTGCCCAAAAATTGGCCCCCTCCCCGCTCCACCCCCCGCCCTTCCCCAGCTCTGTCCTCCCCTCCCCTACCCCGCCTGCCCACAGGACCACTTACCGCCTCCACGGCCCACCGCAGATCGCCCAGGCAGCATCAACTGCATGATGGAGTGTGAGGGCAGAGTTTTGTCAATGCTGCCTGGCTGCCATGTCCTTGGCTGCACTGCTCCATGTGAGCCACGCTCAAGGGTGACTCTCCTTCAGGGGGGCTGCTGGAGAGGATGGGGTCACAGGGGGAAGCAAGGCTGGGGCAACGGCCCATGTGCCCACAGAGAGGGCTCTGAGTGCCACCTCTGGCACCCGTGCCATAGGTTCGCCACCACTAATATAGTATCAGCTACCAACAAACCAACGTTTTGGTTTATATTTCTGTAACCAGCTTACATTGTGCATTATAAGCCGGCATAATTATGTATAATTATGTACATGCCTCTAGATACTCAGTGATGATACTCTATCACTAGAAGTTTTTCAAGAAGAGATTGGACAGCCATTGAACAGTCCAGAATGATATAGGGAAGGAGTAGGCAACCTTGGCTCTTTCATGACTTGTGGACTTCAATACCCAGAATTCCTGAACCAGCCATGCTGATTCAGGAATTCTGGGAGTTGAAGTCCACAAGTCATAAAAGAGCCAAGGTTGTCTACCCCTGGTATAGGGTCTCCTGCCTGAGCAGGGAGTTGGACAAGAAAACCTCCAAGGTCCCTTCCAACTCTGTTATTCTGTTCTGTTCTACTTCCTCCTAACTTATATAAGGTTGTGGTTAACTCTTATCTTTCAATGAATACAAACTGGAAGAGCCCAGTAAAAGTAAAAAAGTTTTCATTTGGGAAATTGTTACTCTATAAACAGTGAAAACAGTGATTTATATCTCTAGATTTATTTTGTTTCTTCTTCCTAGTGTACATTTTGAATTAGATGAGAAGATGTTTCTAAGAAATAGTTCCTTAATCACATCTATGTCCCCACTATTTAAGGGAAATACATATTTGTAATGTTTTAATGTTTCATTCTTTGATAATGTGACCAAATTAGTAGACCAGCGAAATGCTGTGGACATAGTATACTTAGATTTCAGTAAGGCATTAGACAAAGTAGACCACAATCTATAAGCTAGAAAAAGATGGAGTAGATAACATCATCACCAGATGGATTTGTAGCTGGCTGACAAACTGTCCTCAACAAGTAGTCCTCAATGAAGTAAGCAGTGGGGTACCACAAGGCTCCATCTAAGGTCCAGTACTCTTCAATATCTTAATCAATGACTTAGATGAGGAAATAGAAGGGGAACTCATCAAATCTGCAGATGACACTAAATAGCCAACACCCCAGAAGACAAGCTCAGGATTCAAAAAGATCTTGACAAACTTGAACAATGGGCCCTATCCAACAAAATGAGTTTTAATGTGGACAAAAGCAAAGTTTTAAATTTAGGCAGAAAAATCGAAGATATAAATACAGATTAGGTGAGACCTGGATCAAAAACAGTAACTGTGAGAGGGACCTTGGCGTTCTAGTGAACGATCACTTGACTATGAGCCAGCAGTGTGCAGCAGCAGCCAAAAAAGCTAATACCATCCTGGGTTGTATAAACAGAGGCATAGAATCAAGATCACACAAAGTATTAGTATCACTTTATAAAACCCTAGTGAGAGCACACCTGGAATACTGCAACCAATTTTGGTCACCATACTACAAAAAAGATGTTTAGACCTTGGAGAAAGTTCAGAGAAGAGCAACTAAAAAGATCCAAGGCCTGGAAACTAAAACATATGAAGAACAGCTGCAGGACTTGGGTTTGGCTAGTCTAAAGAAAAGAAGAAATAGGGGTGACATGATGGCAGTATTCCAGTATTTGAGGGACTACCACAAAGAAGAAGAAGAGGTCAAACTATTTTCCAAAGCATCAGAGGGCAGAGCAAGAAACAATGGTTGGAAACTGATCAAAGAGAGAAGCAACCTGGAATTAAGGAGAAATTTCCAGACAATTAACCAGTGGAACAGAAGTTCCCTCCAAAAATCATGAGTGCTCCATCACTGGAGGTTTTTAGATAGTCACTTGTCTGAGATGGTATAGATTCTCCTGTTTGGGTGGGGGGCTGGACTAGAAGACCTCCGAGGTCCCTTCCAGTTCTATTCTATTCTTCTCCTCAATAATAGTTGTGGTATTTTGCCTGTGCTTAGGTGAACAATGGAAACAGATAAGGGATAATTTCTGCCATTGAAGATCCTGTCTTTGTGTCATCTGCACAAGCCTGTGCTTCAAAAAAGCTTAGACTCATTTGTAATTCCACCCTTGCAGACTACTGCATTCCAGATCCCATTTCATCAGGAGATGGAGATTAAAATCAGATTTTCTGGGTCTGAAAGTACTCTCCATAGTTTGACCAAGTATGTTGGCAGAGGAACTGTTTCAACTCTTGTGGGTCCAATAAAGCCAACCAGGCCATTCCCTCTTTCCCCACTATCAAATCCTTTCTTCCCTCCTTTTTTATGCTTCCTCTTTTGGTGTTAATTTTGGAAAACTGCTGTAAATGAATAAAGACATGATTAAATGACTAGAGGCAAAAGGAAAAGGGTGAGCAGGCTCAGGACCTTCAGGTCAATATGTATATCAAGCCAAGTCATTAGCAACTGAAAATGGCACCATCTGGGCTGGTTCTGTTCATTATATTCCTGGTGGAGAAATTAACTTAGCTCAGTTTGATAGACAATTGTAGGAGGAAAAACTGTCTGGAAATAGGTAAATAGAATTCTCCAGGACCAATTTATCCAACCGAAGAATAGAGAAAGGAGACCAAATAGAATTGTATTTAGAAAGTGATTATTTAAATTAATGATAATAATCAGCATTATTCTTACTCTTAAATTTCCTCTATGTTTTACTTCATAATATTCACTGTGTGTTATAATGCTAGTATTGCCAAGATACATTGACAAATTCTTCGTTGTTGGGTTTTTGCTTTGTTTTTTTGGTTTGTCTATCTCTAGCCCAAAGAGGAAGAAATTATATTTGCCTGCTTTACAGCTGTTAAAGTTGGCCAAGAAAAAGAAGACAGTTTTAATTTATAAAGCTCAAAGATAAATCAGAATTCAAATTTAGAAGTAAGAGGTAAGCACTTAAAATCCATTGAACTGAATGGACAAATCTGGAGGTACGGTTCCTCCCAAAATTGCATATTTAAGAAAACTCAAAAAACATTTTGGAAGATGCTTATTTCAAAAAAGGAAGTATTTACACTAATATTTTTACATCTCTGTTCAAATTTAATGCACATTATTTGCCCATCACTATAAGAATGACGGTAATTTATTATATACAGTAGATCTACACCAGGGGTGTCAAACTCAATTTCATTGCGGTTGCCCTCGGAGGGGCGGGGGCGGCGTGTGTGGCCAGGGTGGGTGCGGCCTACTGGGTGGGTGTGGATGGAGTGGGTGTGGCTTACTGGGTGGGCGTGGCCAGCTCTACATCATTTGTGTCAAGGGTCCTTGTAGAGGCCTGGGCAGGAGTGGGACAGATCTGAGGGTCTCTGGCAGAAAGGGATGGGACCAGGGCAAACCCCATCAAGCTGGATATGTGAAGTAGACAAGGGCCATTTGCTGGCCACTTCCAGGCGATGGTGCGTTTCTTCATTCCTCACAAAGGGTGACACCTCCCCAGCATGCAACCACTTATGGACTTCGTGCTTGAGGTAGGAAAAAAATGAAAATTTGCTTTAGCATTTTGCTGATTAGGGAGATTTGTTGTTATAGAAATGGCTAGTATAAACGATTATGTAAAAGTAAAAAGCTGAGGTTGTTTGTTATTACTTTATTCTCCTGTGCCAAAAAGAATCAGAAATCAGTGTTTTTTTTCTTTTTCTTTTCCCCGTTACCCTACACTTTTTCCTCTTTCCCCTTTCTTCCCCTATTTTCATTTTTCTTTGTATTTGTGTATTTTATATTTTGATAAACTAATAAAAATTGACACCCCCCAAAAAAGGAAAGTAACTGACATGAGATGGATTGATAGATTAGAATTTTCCAACATCATCTTCATTGCATATGGAAAATCCAGAGTTCCTCAACAGAGTTGTGGTGGGGGGGAGTTACAATTATTTAATAATCTGCTTTGTGTTTTATCATCTTTGTAAAACCTGTCTAGAGGACATCTGTGAATGCTGGATTAAATATATATTTAATATATTCGACTTCGTCAAAACGTCGCCAAGACATTTCCAATTTTACGCAGGAGAAAACCCAAATAACCAAAGACCTACATACAAACACCCGTGAAAACCTCAGAAAACATATATATATATATATATATATATATATATATATATATATATATATATATATATATATATTAAAAATTGCGGTCTCCGACCTCTGATCAGATCTAAATGTCACAGAAGCTAAGGAATTGTTTGAAAAACAAGGCATAGGTAGCAATTTATGGTGGCTAACAACATACATCTATTATTAGCCATTATTAAGACTTGTTTCTCTGTGTTCATCACTTGGTCTGATACTGATTCCTTGACTCTTAGATGCAAGAAGATTTGAATGAGTCTACACGAGGCACCCCTTTAAATCCTCAGAAGCTGCTCTCATCTCTGTCCCCAAAGATTCCAGATCGAGGCCTACAAAATGGAGGTGAAAGAGAGGTCTCAGACTAGAGCATGGTTGCAGTACATCCAGTGGTGGGATTCAAATATGTAAACAACTGGTTCTCTGTGTGGATGCCACTTCCGGAAGTCCGTTCTGGGCCTGGGCAACAAAAAATTAGCTACCGGTTCCGCTGAACTGGTGCAAACTGGCTGAATCCCACCACTGAATACGTTGGATGTAAATCAGCAGGATTTGTTTGTGATTGGCATGTAGTTGACATTACCTTTAATATTATTTTCAGATGTCCTGATCGCAATCGAACAACAGTGTCTATTGCAGCCTGCATTTCACTACCTCCTTTATTGCTTACGACGATCACCTGCATGCTATGAATACAACATAAGGAAAGACCTGCTGTTGGTACACCTCTTGGATGGCAGCCAAGCTATTTATTGCTATTCAAGCAATTAATGGTCTTATTGATCTCTTGCTTTCCCCTAGTAAACATTGGATAAGTCATTTATTTTTATTCCTTAGTTGTAATTAATGCAAGTAGAGTCTGACTGGTATTTGCTTGTATTGCACTTTCTGGATGAGAGAACATTTTCCCTTTCACAACCACTTTGTGGTGGAACGGACTCGTTACAAATAAGGCACATCTGCTCATTATTTTTCTAAATAGTATATAACCATCGGAATGTGGGCTTGTTTCTTCCTCGCTCTGGTAGAACTCAAGCAACTTCTCTAAATGCAGCATATATTTTGTTACTTAAACAGCTACTCATTTTCCATGATTATTCTCAGGGCAAAACCATATTTCTTGGGCCATCAATACTTCATGCCAGAAAAAAACAGGAAGATGTTGGTTGGAAGCTGATGTACTGACCTCCACTAATGGAGCATACAATGCCAGGAGAGGAGCTGTGTTATCTGCTCTTTCAAAATATTTATTTACTAAGGAGAGAGAGAGAGAGAGGGGAGAGAGAGAAAGAGACAGGAGAGAGAGAAAGAGAGAGAGAGAAAAAAAATTACAAAATACACATGACATGGAAAAGTTTGAAGAGTGATGACATTGTACTATTGTAGAAGACTTTAGCTCTGGCCTCCAGAAGTCAGTGGAAGAGGTTCCTTGCAGACTACTGGAACCATTTGCACTTCAGTTTGAGATGCAGAAACCACAGACTCATCCCCAACAGCCTGCACCTGTCTTCAACAGTGAAGGGGCACAGGGCAGAAAACATCCTGCAGCCAAGAAGGCTCCACACACATTTGCGCTACTCAGATGACTCTGAGGACACAGATTTCCTCAACAACTCTCTAAAAGAAGGCAAATGACCAGCAGTCTGCAAGGAACATAAATCCTTCTATCCCCATCATCTGGTCAGAGCTGCAGAAGCTTTTTGGATGAGAAGTGAAATGTCTTCAAAGAAAAAAAACCCAAGGAAATCCAGTTGCCACCTGAAAAAAAGCATCTTTGGGGCAACCATGACCTGGATAACTGAGAAACTCCCTAGACAAAAGGACCATTGATTGCTGACCTTTGGGAAAGCAGAAAGCATGAGAAGAAGACTCAGAACAGTGCCACCTTGACCTTGTTTTCCTTAAAAATGGAAAAAGCTCTGCACGAGCTTTCAAGCTTCAAAAAAATGCACTGTGAAAAGAATCCAGAGAAAGAAATATTTTGGAAAATATTGAAAAGTCAGAATATATTTCCCCAAAGGAATAATGGAGAAGATCTTTTTAAAAAGACAGAAGCCAGCCCCAGCCCCTCTCCCCAAGCAGAAACTAGGCAGAGGCCAGCTTTTAGAAATAGAGATGTAATAATCCATTCAGGAAGGTTGGAGCCAGGAAGCTATTAGGAAGACAAAGACACCTAAAATCTACATACCCCCACACAAATTCTGAAGACAGGAGACAAAATAGGATTAACCCACCAATACCAAAAGGGCAAACTCAGACTCAGGTCAAAGTACATGACACAGGAAATATAAAGCCTCAAACAGGAACAGGAAACAACCTCAAGAGCCCCAGAAGGCATAAAAACCCACCACTTCCTGCTACATGTGGTCAGTTTTCACAAAGCCATTTTTCTGTCTGGCTCTCATCTTCAATAAACTACAGCCTTCTTTCTAAAGCAGTCTCCATTTTGATTATTCCTGGCTTGGACTGGACCTTGATGAAGATTTTTCTTTCAACAGCACCCTACAACAATAAACTAGCAGAAGAACTGCAGTGTTTGTTTCTCAACCTGCCCTACCTTGAAGGGCTAATTATCTTTGGATGACCACCTCAAATCCCTCGCCTTGACCATTCTGGCAGAGACAGGCATATTTTACAGCATCATGGGTCAACCAGACTACTTAAGTCTTACCATGAGATCTGGTTGCTATCAGTAAGGAACAATTTCTTAAAAGATGAAAACAATGATTTGGTGGTTATAGAGTAGACAGATATCACTTAGAGATATCTGTCATAAGATGAATGTAATATGTGGGTGACCTGCTATGTGCTTAAAACTAGGTTAGTTTTTTTTTTTAAAAAAAAGAAGATAATCACGATATACCAAAGCTGAAAGCTAAACTGGAAAGTAAAAATAATAATAATAAAAAATCTTGAAGGAAAGAAATGGGAAATCCGTTTTGTGTTGTTGCTAAGAAAATACATAGATATATCCACAAAGTCACAGAGAGTCAAACTCAGTGGAATGTGGTGGAGTTAAGTAAGTACCAGCTATGGATTTTGTGTCATATCAGGTCATTCACTTTGGCCCCAAAGTACACCCTATATGCATCATGCCTGCTCTGCTGCTAAATATTTCCTGGAAGTCTCTGCTAACAAAGACTCCGATTTCAGACTTTTGGCTGTGCTGAATTAGGTAACTGGACAGAGTTAGAGAAGCAAAGCATATTAATCATTCAGCTGCGCTGGACCACTTTGGCAAACATCTCCATGAGGAAAGAAGCCAGATCTTGAAACCTGTTATTTCCTATATATAGTAGAGATTATGTTCAATTTGATGTGGAAGTCCTTGGTTGACTTTACCAAAGAAAGGGCAAAATGTAAGATTTGGGTTGGATCAAGGTTTTTATAGTAGGTGGATGTCCGGTGAGCTGAACCAATATAACAATATAACACAGGGGTAGGCAACCGTGGCTCTTTTATGACTTGTGGACTTCAACTCCCAGAATTCCTGAGCCAGCATGGCTCAGCATGGAAACTTCTCCCTTTCCCTTCAGCATGGCTGGCTCAGGAATTCTGGGAGTTGAAGTCCACGAGTCATAAAAGAGCCAAGGTTGCCTACGCCTGGTATAAGAGAACTGAAAAGGACTTTGGAGGTCTTCTAGTCCAACCCCCTGCTCAATCAGGAAACCCTATACCATTTCAAGCAAGATTGGTTCTCCAATTTCTTATTGAAAACCTTCAATGTTGGAGCACCCACAACTTCTGAAGGCAAGCTGTTCCGCTAATTAATTGTTCTAGCTGTCAGGAAATTTCTCCTTAGTTTTAGGTTGCTTCTCTCCTTGATTAGTTTTGATTATGAAACTCCTGGATACATTACTTCTCCTTTATGAATACATTTTCTTGGCAACCATAACTCATTTGTATTTCCTTCCTGCAGGTTTAAATTATTATTTTTGAGCTGAGAAATATTTTTCTTCTCCAATTAATCCTACTTCAGAAAAAAAAAGAAGATAAATATATTTTTGTCTCTCCTATAACAATCCAAATAAAGTTTAGATGGGATAATGACTAGGGCTTAAACTGACGTGAAAGTGACAATACATAACACTTTAGTTCAGGCAAAAATCAGGTCATCAAGCCTAACTGTATATAAATCTAGCTGAATCTTTTATGGACGTAGATATTGTTTCTAATTCACAAAGACACTTTTATCAGATCTATTGTGTAGTGGGTTTCAGTAGGCAAGGAGCAGACCAGCATAGTTACAACATCATTTATTGACTCAAACTAGAACTAGAGAACTGCAGGCAATTGCCTGCAATTTATAGTCTGAGCCCACAGGGCCTTAACCAATCACAATACTTGAAAAAGCCCGCCCAAATATGAATGTTCAAAGTTTCCCTCCAAAACAGTTGGAGTTAACCATCAGGGTCATTTAAAGGTTAGTTTCATTTTAGCTTCACAAGTAGTTGGAATTAAGTTAGTTTCACTTTAGCAGGGATTAACACAACTTTTTGTTTATTATTATTAATTTTTTTTACAATTTTATAATAAAATCCCTCTCCCACTGCCTCCCTACCCTCCCAGAAACCCTCCCCCCATCTTCCCAGAGCTGAATACAGGTTAACTAAAATTAAAAAATACAAAACATTTAAACTTAAATAAACCTCAAACAAATATTACATTAAAAAAAAACAAATTTTTAAGTACTTTAAGTCCAATATATATATATAATAAAAATACTTATTATCTTAAACTTTACACATAAATTATTCAAAAGCTAAATAATATCTTTTAATATCATACTTATAATGTATAAAGTTTATCCATCTTTTCCACACCAAGAGATATTTCTCTTGCGATTGATCTTTCAAATAAGCCGAAATTTTTGCCATTTCAGATAAGTAAGAAACTTTTAAAAACCATTTCTCCAAAGTAGGCAAAAATTCCTTCTTCCAATATTGTCCTATCAACAATCTTGCCGCTGTGATTAAATTTAACAAAATAATTTCTTTATCATCACAATCAACAATAATACCTAACAAAAACAATTGTGGAGTGAATTTTATCCTTCCATTAAAATTTTTTTGAATATTCCACCATATCTTTATCCAAAAAACTTTTATGCTTTTACATGACCACCAAATATGATAATACATTGCATCCAGACAACCACATCTCCAACATTTAGGTTGCAAATTTGAATACTTACGAGACATCTTTTGTGGATCAAGGTACCATCTATAAAACATTTTATAAAAATTTTCCCATAAATTTTGAGCTTGCGTAAATTTAACATTCCTCACCCAAATGTTCTCGCATGTTTCTAATAAAACTGGCTCATCAAAATTTTGAGCCCATTTGACCATGCAATCTAACACAACTTTATATATACAGTATATTCAATACATAACAAGATCTTCCTTTCTAAATGTGTTTAAAATACTATTTTGACTTGACCTTGTTAAACTTGACAAGGAACATCTAAGTTTGGAATACAGAGCAACTCAGAAGTGACCACTTTTTGTTGTTATTAGACGCTAAATTGTGTCTGACACTTTGCAATCCCATTAAGGTGACCAACTTTTTTACAATGAAAAGAAATTTCTTTTACAAAGAAATTGACGAAAAAATATTGTAAATAAAAGAAACATTTTATTCATTGCAACAATAATACAGAATACACTATAATATGATAAATGCATAATAAAAAACATTTGTAACAATAACATTTTAT